GAAAAGTCTATCACTGACTTCAAATTCCATTTGAGTCTGGCATATTTTCAAGTTCTGCTCCAGGCCCAAAGTCCATTTCAGCATGCTCTAGAGAGTCTGTCCTCATCACCTATTTTGTATCACTGCTCCACCTGTGCCTCCATTTTATTTCTCTTCTGCCAGAATTCTAACTGACCAGATTTGCTCATTTAGATTTCCATCAAAATTTTAGAAACATATTTCTGTAAGCTATCTTAAGATATTTTTATAAGTCAAAAACTATTCAGTCTTCTATGACCTATAACTATAGAGCAAAACATGGCCCTCAAATGACAGACTGGAAATTTAAAAGCTGCATGTCTCCTACATGCTGTTAACTGTGGACAGCCTGTTGGGTGTAGTGGTGCATGACTATCATTTCAGCACTTAGGAGCAAAGGCAGGGGGATCCAAAGTTCAAAGCTATCTGGGGCACAGGACACTATCTCAAAAGACTCCCCAGGAAGAGAATAACTTACCAGATATATCAAAAGTTAATGGCCAGGGATAGTGGCTAAAGACTAGGGCTGGAGAGATGGCTCAGAGGCTAAGAGCACTTCCAGAGGTTCTGAGATCAATTCCCAGCAACCATATGGTGGCTCACAACTATCCGTTATGAGATCTGGTGCCCTCTTCTGGTGTTTAGACATACATGGAAGCAGAATGTTGTATGCATAATAAATAAATAAAATAAAAAAAAAAGGAAAAAAAAACAGAAAAGTACTTTTAAAAAAATTCTAAAGACTAAAATATAACTGGGTGTTTTGTAATATTCTTCCTGCAACTTTAGAAACACACTACTGTAGAGGAGAAAAAGACAGTCTTATTACAAACTCAACAAGCAATGAATGTCCTATCTTTGTAAGATCATAGGCTAGTAAAAAGAAGTAAGTCATAAACAAATTAATCCAAGTAAAAAGAAATCATAAAGTTTAGTAGGTACTTTTGAAAAATAAACAAGGTTCTATTAAAAATGCAACTTTTTAGGAAAAGTGGTTAAAAAAGGAAGGAGGACTCTAAGATAATCCTGGGACCACTCTCTTGGGAAGTATTTAAGCTGAAGAAAATCTTCCTAATAAAAAGAACAGTAAGAACTTAAAAGTTAAAGACAAAGAAGGAGGCAAAATAGAGTTTGGCACAGTAGAGGAACCAAGTGGAAAGCATTACACCCAGAACATGATGCTATGGGGATAAAAAGAATAAGATGAAGCTAGAGTTGTACACTGGTCAGTCCATAAGACGCTTCAAGTATTTTCTTTTGTGGCTCTATTTCTAAATACTTTCACAAAGCTTTTATAGAGTGCTATGAACAGCCAAATTGTAGAATCTGATTAAATACTTTAAATGCTTATTGTGTCCTCTTTAAGGAGAATAACTTTATAGAAAAAAACAAAAATAGATGCATGGACATTAAGAAACAGATAAGGAATGACAGTGAAATGGAAAGAGGTGAAATATAACTTAGATACAGTAGCAATGGGACTTGCTGATAAAAGACAAAGAAAATCAAAGAATACAAAATAACTCATGGGCTATTAAAATAAGCAAATAAGATTAAAGCATAAAAAGACTAAAGTAAGGGGCAAGTGAGATGACTCAGAGGTAAGGGCATTTTCTGCCAAGTCTGACAATCTCTGATGAATGTTGTCCTCTGACCTACATATGCGGATGCGCGCGCGCACACACACACACACACACACACACACACACACACACACACACACACACACACACGTGCACACAACACAAAAATAATTAAATTTTTTGAAAAATTTAAAAGAAAAGGACTAAAGTATAGCCATTAAGGGGACAGGAAGGAAAGCAGGCTGCATTAAGTTTTATTTTGGACATATTATTAAATTTAAAATCACTAACAACAACCAAAAAAGAGTCCTATATAATAAGTAGGCAAAAGAACCTGAAACTTGGATTTTAAGACAAGACTTTTTGGGAGTCATACACTAGAAGTGAATCCCAGATGGATAACGTTTATGTAGACAAGACAGGAGGATCATCCTAAGAGGTTCAACCAGAATCTTCAATCCAAAGTAGACAGAACAAGAACTATCAATGGATATGATAAACACAGCCATGGCAGATAAGGAGAGCAAACAGGCAAGTGTAGTGTGAATGCCAAGAAGGGTAAGAAGGGAAAGATGGTGTTAAATGTAACTGAGCCAAAAAATCTACTAAGGTACTAACAGAGAGATAGTTTCATGGTTGGCAAAACAGAGCTAGCTGCTCACTGGTGACTCTGACAAATATTTTGACAGGAAAAGGAGGCTGAAAAGCAAATTTTGGTTGGTTCATGAGTGGGGTAGAAATGAAGATGCAGAGAAATGGGGAAGTAGAGTTGTTGAACAGCCTTCTTTGGAGGGATGTAGAGTGATAGAGAGGCTTTCTGTTTTGAGGAAAGAGATAACAGTATGTTTGAGGCTAAAAGAAAAAATTCAGCAAAAAAGGCAATAATGACACAGGAAAAAAGTGAAGTCCCCAGGAAGGCACAGAAACAGGAGTGCAGTCCCTGAGAAGCTAGGAAAGCATGGTTTGAACTGCTCCATCGAGGTGTGACAGGAGAAGATACTTTTTTTTTTTCCCCTAGATGTTGGAAAGCTGAATGGTCAAGAAAATGAGTGTTTTGCTCTTCATTGTGAGGAAGTCTGCAGCTTATGGAGCAGAGAAGGTAAACCAGGATATTAAAAATGTAGAAGCCAGGAAGGAGTCAAATAAACATTCTTACACCTGGACAGCAAAGGCATGGAAAGACAAACTGCTCTGACAAGTGTACACTAAAATTTGTGTGTGACTTTCATCATCATCACTGAGAGATTCAGATGCAGACTATGAGAAGGAGTCCAAAGCACTTGGACTAGTTTTCATCCTCACAGTCACTGTAGTTAACTATTAAAATCGACAAAGGAAAGACATGTGATATGAAGGAAAGACATAACCATTTACACATATCCATAGCAAGACGAGGATAGAAAACAGTGTTTCCACAGATCTAGATCTACATAAGTCACTGACCGAAATCACAGTTCTAAATTGACATTCCCACCTACTACATTCTCACAATGGACAATCCCCAGTGTCTGCCTAGTAAGCCATCTGGATTTGGATAGGCTTTGGTTAACACAAATGGATCAGGAAAGGAACAACAACAACAAAAAGTTAAGTCCTTGCTATGGACACTCTGGATGCTAGGATAATGAAAGGGCTACTGTTGAAACAATTATAAGCGTAATCGATATCTCACACCAAATCATTTTCCTCAAAAGTGGTACAATTTAGAAAACAGGAAAATACTCTAATTATAGTTTACAAAAGTTAAGTTAAAAATCTCAATCTACTAATTGAAAACATTTCCTTACTTTCTCTGAAATATTTATGGACAAAGGAACCAAATAATATTCAAACAATGATCATATATATGGTCATCACAAAACTATTCTTTAATGCTTAGTATATTAAACACTAAAGTTTAAATTGTAGTATGAAAAATGAAAAAAAATAGCTATGCAAACATTCTTTTAAAGCTCCAAAATATTTTACTCACAAATATGTTTAAGAAACAATTAGGAGGAGTTAAGACTCAGTTGAACTTAAAACCAGGCTACAGAGTCTTTTTGCTAAGTTTTTCTGATAACTTATAATTGCCTAAAATCTTTCAGAATATTAGCAACCACACTATCACTTTAAAAATCCTTATCTTGAGGCTCCAAAGATGCTCTGTCATCAAGAGCATTATTCTTCTTTCAGAGGAAGATTCAGTCCCGAGCACCTAGGTGCTGGCTCACAACTGATGTAACTCCAGTTCCAGGGAAGGTGATGCCCTCTTCTGGCCTCCTCAGACATAAACATAGTGCAAGCAGGCAAACCACTCACACATATAAAATAAAAATAAGTATTTAAATTTTTTTCTTACCTTTACTAATACTAGTTTTTGTCTACTTCTGATGCCTCTTCCCTATTTTTCAAGCAATTCAAAATATTTTATTTTCCTCAAGTTGAAATGCCATGTGAAATGTGGAAAAGCTGATTTTCTAGCTTAGCGTTAGCTTCCATTTTTATAAGCTGTACATAGTGTTACCAGTTATGCAGTAGACCCTGGCTTCTATTCCCACAGAAAGTGAATATTAATTACCAAAAATGAGATTTAGTGATAAAACTACTTAATTTAAAACACCCCATTATCTGGGATCTGGCATCTGTGACAGCTTGGAAACATGTTGCTAGGAAGCTGTCAGAGGTCTTAGTTTAGGTACTAGCTGTATTCCTAGCTACATCCTTGGCAAATATTTTTCTGGATCTAATAAAATGCTTTCTTATAAGAACTTTAAAAAATAAACAAATACATTATTTTTACTATATTTATGAGAATAGTTAAAATAAAATTTCAAATATATTTGAAAGGCAAATATATATATATATATATATATATATATATATTTTAAAGACAAAGATTTGGTAAGAGAATTTTTTCATATATATAACAGTGAAGTAATCCTCCAGGTAAAGCACAATATGCTGCTGAGAGGGACCATCTCAGACTCACTATTCTGAACATATTCAAAGTATTTCATAATTTGAGGAAAAATTGAAAATATAAATACAATGGGAATAATGATGAGATATATTTTCACTGTCATTTTAATATAGACATAGAACCAAGTAAATCTAGAACATTATTTTCACCAATAATGATCTATAAATAATCTTTCAGTGTATTAAACTATGGCAAAGTAACACCTGCTGTTACCTTAAAAAAAAAAACTCTTATGTAAATTAAAGATTCACTATTTGTAAAAATTCATTCAAAGTAGACGCACTTGAAGTTTCTATGTGTTACTATTTGCATACTACAATTAATTCTGACCATTTACACCAGCAAGTTACTGCCCTTTAGGATCTTTCACAGCAAACTATGTGTTCATTATCAGAGATGAGCATATGAACAGCCTACTTGAAGAATAGCATCCTCACCGGACTGATGGTGTGCATGGTGTCCAGACGCTTCAACAGACTGCCTTGGTTCACTGTCTGGAGAAGACAGCACAGAAGTACAACCAGGGCTTTCTATGGCAGATGCTGTTGCCTGAGCCTGAACAGACACTGTACAGGATGTAGAAGGTTGAAGCAGTTGCTCAGCTGGTGCATCTACATCCATTGCAGTTTCACCAACTTCCAAATTAGGACTTGATGGAACCGTAGGAAGAGTTGAAACATCTGACTGATTTGTTGCACCTTAAAAAAAGCACGTATTAATGCAAACTCAAATTTTTAAAAGATCTAATTATTTTTACATTCCATGTATGAGTGTTTGGGTCACATGCACGAATGTGTCTGCAGAGGCTAGAAGAGGGTACTGAATTCCCCAGAACTGGAGTTGCTGACAGTCGTGAGCAGCCTATGTAGGTTCTGGGAATTAAACTCAAGTCTTCTCCAAAAGCAGTAAGTGCTCTTAACCAACTCTTAATTGCTGTTGAGCCATCTCCCCAGCCTCAGACTCAAATTTTATATGCCAAACAAAAAAATCACAAAAACAAAGCTCTATAGAAACAGGTTCTGAAATATATAATTTTACATGTGTGCATATATGCACACACATACAATTTCAGTGTGTTGACTAGTCTTATGTCAACTAGACAAAAGCTAAAGTTATCTAAAAGAAGGGAACTTCAATTTAGAAAATGCCTACATAAGATCCAGCTGTAAAGCGTTTTCTTAATTAGTGATTGATGAGGCATCGTTCAGCCCATTGTGGGTGGTGCCATCCCTGGGCTGGTAGTCCTGGCTCTATAAGAAAGCAGGCTGAGCAAGCTATGGGGAGCAAGTCAGTAAGCAGCACCCCTTGGTGGCCTCTGCCATCAGTTCTTGCCTCAAGGATCCTGCCCTGTTTGAGTTCCTGTGCTGACTTCCTTTGGTGATAAAAAGTGATATGAAAGTGTAAGTCAAGTAAACCCTTTGCTCTCCAACTTGTTTTTTGTACATGACAGAAACAGAAACCTCAATTAAGAAATTCAGAATACTTTTTTTTTTTTAAATGGAGTGTGCTGGATGTCTCTACAATTTTGTTCAAATGATTGCAGAACCTGGAAAAGCTGTTGCTGCTATTGATGCATAACACACTGCCATTATTGGTCTTCATATGTGTGTGTGTGTGTGTGTGTGTGTGTGTGTGTGTGTGTGTGTGTATACACATATAATTTGAAAAAAAAAAAAGACATTCAGAATACCAATAATGGCCACTGGTGGTCTGGTCCGCTTAATCAAGCAATCTAATCGATAGAGATAAGAATCAATGACACATTCTTATTAAAATAATCAATCTCGGGCTAGTATGATGGTTAAGCAGGTGAGGATACTTGCTGCCATGCCTCACTGAGTTTGAAAACTGAGTCCTCCGAGCTGTTTTCTGACCTCCGCATGTACACTCATATACATATGTACACACATACATACCAAATAGATAAATTCTTTAACCAAATTTTAGAATTATATGCTTGTGCTTATCTTGAGAGTTTTGTAGACTTCCATTTTCAAGGTGCAGTGGAAAGGGACTTAAAATTGGAAATCTTACTTCTGTTTTCTTTGTTTTGAGATAAAAGAGCTGGGTCTACTGGAATCAGAAGAGACCTATGACTATTTTGGTTACAAAACACAGTTCAGTTTGACAGATGGTAACAACAAAAACTATCTTCTAGTGGGCACGGTCTACAGAGTGAGTTCCAGTACAGCCAGGGCTACACAAGAGAAAACCTTTCTCAAAAAAAAAAAAAAAAAAAAAAAAAAAAAAAAAAAAAGAGAAAAGAAAAAGAAAAACCACCACCAAACAAACAAACACCATCAAAACTACCTCTTTCTAATGACTTCAACTAGTAAGACAAATTACCTCTTGGTCGAGGTCTTCCCCTTCCTCTATTGCTTTGTGCAACTTCGCTTGCTTCTTCAAACCACCTTGATAACATATCAGACATTCTCTGCATCAATGACACGTTGGGACTTTGCTCTCCTATTACAACATAAATTTCATCAGTAAGTTTAGCAAAAAGTCAGGATCTTTAATACAAAAACCTAGATTTGAAGGCCTTTAAAATGCTAGAAATTAAACCTAAGTAACTTACGTGAATGTATAAAAAGCTATTAGAATCCCCATCACATTTTATAATCATTGTATGAGTACACATGTTTGTGTGAGATCTCAAGGAGCATGAGTTCTCATCTTCATCTATGCCTGTTTTTAAGTAACTCTGCCCCCTCCCTGCCCCACAACTGTCTATTAATAGTTATAAGTGTGCCCAATAGGAAGGGCTCATGAATTCTAAGTGGCATAAACTAAAGGGAAGGCTTGCTTTCTCACTATAACATTATCATCAAAGACAGACATGAAATAACCTTGAGATTTTACCTCAATTTCTCTAAAACAGAATTCCTATTAGTTACTGTAAGTTTCAGGTATTTAATGAGATCAGGTCCTTTCAGGGTTGTATGACAACAGGCATTTGCAATTAGCTGACAGAATGTATTTCGTCTTTTCAACTTCACTCCTTTTCTTTGTTCAAATAAATATTTGTTTGCTTTTCTCCTTTAAGGGCATTTTATTTTGTTAGACCATGGGGGATGCTTATGTTCTTACAGTGCTGTGGATATTAAGGGCATTTTAAGATGGAAACATGAAAACCCAACACTCAGTAGGCTAAAGCAGGATGACTGTTGTGACTTGGAAGCCAGCCTGGAATACACAGCAAATAGGAGGGCAGTCAGGGCTACACAGTAAGGCCCAGCTTCAAAGTCAAAACAGAGTATGAGGTCAGATAAAAAAAATGTAATAATTATCCAATTATACGATTCTTTGATATGATTATTTTTTGGAGACAGGTCTCTTCACTCTAGTCCAGGCTGGTCTGGAATTTACTATGTAGTCCTGGCTTGAATTTAGGATAATCCTTCTGCCACAGCCTTCCAAATTCTGGGATTACAGGCATTTAAGCCACCTTTACATAGTGTTTTTTTGTTTGTCTGTCTGTCTGTTTGTTTGTTTGTTTTGAGACAGGGCTTCTCTGTGGCTTTGGAGGCTGTCCTGGAACTGGCTCTTGTAGACCAGGCTGGTCTCGAACTCACAGAGACCTGCCTGCCTCTGCTTCCCAAGTGCTGGGATTAAAGGCGTACATCACCACTGCCTGGCCTACATAATGTAATTTTATATTTAAGAATATAATAAAATAGAGCCAAGGATACTATACTTAGGAATAGTGTTTTGATTTTAAAATGTTTAATAACTAGAATAAGATTTTTGACTATAGATTAGTAAATAAGATATAATCAGATAAATTGGTCATATATGTATATATGTATATGAAAGTAAAATATACTTATTCAGTGACTTAGCCATTGCACTTCTAGGAATTTATCCTATGATGTACTTGAACAACTCTACAAAAATATTATTAAGACTTCATTGTAACACCATTTACAATAAAAAACAATGGAAGTGAGGGGCTGGAGAGATGGCTCAGAGGGTAAGAGGACTTGCTGCTGTTGAAAAGGACCCAGGTTCAGTTCCCAACATCCACAAAGTGGCTCACAATCATCTTTAACCCCAATGACAGGGCATCTGATGCTTTCTTCTCATCCCCACCAGCACAAGGCATAGTATATATACAGGCAAAAGACTCACACAGACAAGATAAATAAATCTTTAATACCGTATTCACAAAAAAGCTAGCCAAAGTATAGTTACCATCTCGTTCTCGTTCACTCTCCGGCCTTGCTCTGGGACCAGTATCTGACCAATCACCACGAAGTCTCAAGCGCTTAACTGGAGGCTGTCGTAACTACAAGGTAATAATCGTAAGTAGATTCTATGGGAATCTAAAGAACAGATTTGCTTTCAACCTTTATTCTGATGGTGGGAACTGAATCCAGGACCTTGTGCAGGTGAGTACTATACCACTGAATTAATCCTTAGTCCACAGTTATTACAGCATACTTTAATGGAGCATTTCCAACTCCCTACTTAATCTTTAAGTATGGAAATGAAATGTTATATCAATACATGAAATACTGCTATATGTTGTTTCAGTCTTTTACAGTGCTCATGATGATAAATATCCACTGGTGCTACAGTCCATACTTACTATCCTCAACCTAAAAAGCACAAATACAAATACAACTTTGAAATCGTGTATATGTAAGCTGGATTTAGTGGTGCCAGCCTACAATCCCAGGTGAGGCAGGAGGATCACAAATTCAAGACCTACTTAAGCTATGTTTAAGAACAGCCCAGGCGGCCAGGCAGTGGTGGCGCACGCCTTTATTTAATCTCAGCACTCAGGAGGCAGAGGCAGGCAGATCTCTGTTAGCTGGAGACCAGCCTGGTCTACAAGAGCTAGTTCCAGGACAGCCTTCAAAGCCACAGAAAAACCTTGTCTCAAAAAACAAAAAAAGAAAAAAAGAAAAAAAAACAGAAAAAGAAAAGAAAGAAAAAGAAAAAAAAGAAGAAAAGAAAAGTACAGCCTAGGCAAGTTAGTGGCTCCTTGTTTCAAAATTAAAGAGAAAAAGAGGAGGAAGTGATGTAATGTGGTGATGTGGTGGTTGTCTAGAGAAGATACAGTTCTGTGGTAGGGCAATTGCTTGAGTTTTATACCTAGTAAGGCTAGGGGGTAGGGATGGACAGAGGGAGAAGAGAGAAGGAAAAAGAAATGAACCATGTACAGTGACTTCTAATCACTATCCAGTTGACAGCAGAAAAGTCAATCACCCTGATGTTAACATAGTCTAACATAGTCTAAGTACCTACACACCTAACAATGACACAATATTCTTTATTTTTTCTGAACCACTTACTTCTCCATCTCTCCCTAGTATCTATTTTACCCCTCATCACTTGTCTCAAACTTTCTCCATTTTCTCCCATCATTCTCAGCTAATTACTTTTTCCCTACTTAAAAAAAAAAAAAAAATAGGGGGCTGGAGAGACAGCTCAGAGGTTAAGACCACAGCTGCTCTTCCAGAGGTCCTAAGTTCAATTCCCAGAAACCACATGGTGGCTTAAGCCATCTATAACGAGATCTGGTGCTCTCTTCTGGTGTACAGGCACATATACAGACAGAACACTATATGCATAATAAATAAATAAATAAATCTTTCTTTAAAAAACAAAATAGGCTAGGTAGTGGTGGTACATACCTTTAATCCCAACACTCAGGAGGCAGAGGCAGAGGCAGATGGATCTCTTTGAGTTTGAGGTCAGCCTGGTCTACAGAGCAAGTTCCAGGAAAGCCCGGACTACACAAAGAAACACAGTCTTAAAAAAACAACAAAAACAAAAAAGCACCACCAACAACACAAACGTTTAAAAAAAAGTTGTCCTGATGTCCACATGTGTGCCCTGGCATGTTCATACACACAAATAAATAGATAAATGTAAGAAGCCAATACTAAGCTCAATAATTAACTTCCAAGTCAAACAACACCTTTCAGGCATTAGTATCAATAGTATCAACCATTGTTATCTAATTCTAGGACATTCTAATCATTTCCAAAAGAAATCCCATTCCCATCAGCAGCCATTATGCACCTATCTGTAGGGGAAGCTGTAGCCACGCCTACTTAGGGGCTGGCTACAGGTGTGCCTGACCACACCCTCACAAGCTTGCAAGGGCGTGGTCAGGGGACGTAGGGTGACTTCGTTTTCGCTTTCGTTTCTCTTTTGGGCTTGCGTACAGACTGCTGCCACGCAGGCTGGCTAGGTCGCTCTGTAAGTAAGGCTTTTCCCTATTAAATACCCTTGTATTTCTACCTGACTCCATATTGGTAATTTCCCACTATATCTGGTGTCAGAAGTGGTTTAGAAAGAACGACACCCATATTCCCAAATATGGTTTATAAATGTTTCCATTTAAACAGAGTAGGTTATAAATGATGATGAGCATAGTTAATTGTTTTAAAGAAAAAAGGGGAATAGGATATAGGAATGAATACTTTGCATTGGTATAGATTTTCATTTATTGATACAACTTTAAGGTCAATTTTATGATATGTATATGTCTCCTCTTGTTTAGGTTTTGTGTTTAAATAAGGTTATATAATCGCCTATGATAGTAAGAACTTATAATTAGGTTAGTTAGGTTTTCTAGATATACAGAGATATATTTGAGATTGTTAAGTATTCTTCAAACCTTTCAAAGACCTACAGAAATATGACATTTAAATGGTTTAGGGTTTATCTTGGCAATGAGACACAACTGCTCCTGGCACACCAATTATGTCAGAAAGGAGGATGGGCATGGAAGAAACTCATTATGGAATTTGCTTTCAACATGGCAAGATTAGCCATTTGGGCAAGAAACTGCTCTTGCCTGGACTGTTTGTTGCTATATAAACTAGACAGCTAAAGATGGATGCCCCAACGTTACAGAGGAACTTTGGATGACTGCCCAGGTATCGAGATGTCTCTGTCAGTTCTAGAGTTTATATATTATCCTTCTATGGTCTTTGATAGAGTTGAAGACAGATAGTTATGGTTATAGTTTTCTTCAGTTATTATAAAAGATAAGTTACCCTTCTTTTTATTTAGACAGAAAAGAGGAGATGATGGGGAATGTACTACTGTGTATGTTTATCTTATTGATTATTGAATAAAATACTGTTTGGCCAATGAGACAGCAAGTTAGATGGAACTAGGAGTCAAAGAGGATTCTGGGAAATGTAGTAGAGAAGTGCTGATCCAGGCAGGAAGTGACATAGCAAGGAGATTCATATTTAAGCGAAAGAGAAACAGGAAGGGCCCTCTTTTCCCCTCGGCTCCTGCTCCAGTGGCACGATGTGATCCACCAGCTAGGAGGGACGCCAATAAGGCGTCCAATAAGATAAGTCTTATAGAATATATAGATGTATGATAATTGAGACTGAGCTAACAGATGAGAGTCCTAGTCATTGGCCAAGCAACATTGTACCTAATACAAGTTTCTGTGTATTCATTTGGGCCTAACTCAGGCAGGCGGCTGGCGTAAAGCACACATGTGGCGGTGGGGCTCAGGCAGCTTTTGGCAGAAATATTTATCGTAACACCTATCCCTTTCTCAAAGGTCCAGAAAACCAACATTCTAATTTGTCTCTCTAAAGATGTGCGTATTTGGGGCTGGAGAGATGGCTCAGAGGTTAAGAGCACTGGCTGCTCTTCAGAGGTCCTGAGTTCAATTCCCAGCAATCACATGGTGGCTGACAGCCATCTATACTGGGATATGATGCCCTCTTCAGGCAAAAACGTGATAGAATACTCAAATACATAAAATGAGTAAATAATTATTAAAAATTAAAAAAAGACCTGTATAGTCAGGCAGTGGTGGCACACATCTTTAATCCCAGCACTTGGGAAGCAGAGGCAGGTACATCTCTGTGAGTTCAAGGCCAGCATGATCTACAAAGCTACACAGAGAAAAGCAAAAAAAGTGTGTATTCTGAATAACAGTGCATATCAGTGGAATAATACAATATGTAGCCTTTTGGACCCATCTCCTTTCATTTAGCATGCTTTCTTGGTTGATTAATATGATAGAGTATCAACAATGATAGTAGTTGCATTACTTTGTGAATATATAATACTTAACTACTTAATTATATACTTTTACAAGCTGATTGTGACTAGAGAGATGGTTCAGTGGTTTAAGAGTGTTTGCTGAATAAGCATGAGGACCTATGTTCAAATTATTAGAATCCATGTAAAAAGTGAGTGTGGTCAGATATACCCCTAGCCCCAGCACTAGAGGGAAGGGAGTCAGAGACAGGAGTCACTGTAGTTTGCTTGCTTAAATGAAGGCGCCTTGTCTTTATGTAATCATTTCCTTTTCCTTCCTTCCCTTTTTTTTTTTTTTTTTTTTTTTTTTGTTTGTTTTCTTGAGACAGGGTTTTTCTATGTAGCCCTGGCTGTCCTGGAACTTGCTCTGTAGACCAGGCTGGCCTTGAACTCAGAGATTCACCTGCCTCTTCCTCTCGAGTGCTGGGATTAAAGGCATATGCCACCACCACCCGACTCATGTAATCGTTTTCTCATTTTCTTAAATTTAATATAGAACAAAGTGTATAGTAGGTACTTAAAATAAATAATTGTTGTGCTAAGAATAGCTTATCTAAATATTATTGTCAAAATTTTAACATAAAATACCAAATGAAAAACTATGGAAATTAAAACGACGATAGCTCATTAATTTCATACACATATACAACTCTTATTTGGCTAAAAATCAAAGTATGATTTATGTTCATAATTCAGATTTTAGAATTGTTTTTAAATTGGTTGATTCCACAACACATACTAAGAAAAACATCTCTATAAAATATTCAGCACTAGTCCTGATGATATAATTATCTTTGGCTAAGGAGTCTATGATAGCAAAGTTGGCTGGCCCACTTAAAAATGTCAGTACACTTCCAACTTTTTCATTATCTCTCAGTCACAGAGTTTGACTGCAACTCTACTTACCCACATGTCTCAAAGGAAATTACACAGCAGCAATGAAATGACACAGCAGAATTCATTTTCAACCAGTCCAATAAACTCATAAATGCCTTATAATTTTCCTACTTTACACAAATACACTGTCACATTCAACATCTTAAAATTCATCTACAAAATAATCATATTTTTTCTAATTTTATAAATAAATTGTCAAGCCCAAGTTCTGGTGGTTAGATAAAAGCAGCATTCCTCTGCAACTTGTGATGCCTGCTCCCCTCTACCAAAGAGCCATTTCCTTATCACTGGCAGAAAGGAGAAATGGCTATCTGTGGTATGTATAATGCACACCAAAGCACACTGGCCTCCAGCCTCCCTCAGTATCACAAGTAAGTGTCACATATTTCAGAATCCATGATGGCATCCTGACTCTTCTCCCCCAACCCCTTGCCCTACTGCTTCAGCTCCTAGGTTTCCCTTCCTGTCCCACCTTCTCACGTCTCCTTGTAACCCTGCTATTTTGGTTCTGCTCCATCTCTGTTGTCTTCCTCTCCTGGTCTTTACCTCTCACTCTCCCAAGCCCCTCTCTCCGTTCAAGACCACATGCAGTCAGCTGGCCATTTTCAATCCACTACTTTCTCTCTCTGCTCTGGACTCTTCCAGAAGCCTTTGGCTGTACTCTCCCTCATATCTACAATAAAAACCTTCCCCTCAACCATACCTTGGAGAGGTCATATCATCAGTATTCACAACTGAATTTAGTTTTTCATTTCATGGGAATTACACATTTGCTACTGTTCTTCCTTTTAATGTGCAAAATGTTGAGACTATAACTCAGTGCTTGCCTACAATGTGAGGTCCTGGGTTCAATGCCTATTACCATAAATCAAATAATATAAGCTCATTAACACTTAGCTAATACCAAACCACTATTAAGAATTAATTAATTTAAAAAACAAAATATAGAACAAGCATAGGTCATTGTAAAATTTAAGAGCACTTGCTGCTCTTCCAGAGAACACAGTTTGGTTCCCAGCACCCACATGGCGGCTCAGAGTCTTCTAATCTCCAGCTCCAGGGGATGAGACACGCTCTTCTGGCCCTTGGCATGCAATAAGCATGTACATGATGTACAGAAATACATATAAGCAAAACAACTATACATATAAAATAACAAAATTTTTGAATATTAAAAGAAAATCTTAAATAAAGTATTTTTGAAGGTAAACATGGCCTGAATGTTAGGAAAAACCTAACAAGCTAAACCAAGTATGTTACCATGGCTATACTATCAAAAATGCACTTCCAGCTTCCCGTTTTTATAATTTGGTCACAGTAATTCAATTCCTTCACCTTTTATATAAATTCCCTCTTGAACTTTTCCTACTTTCTCATGTGTATGTTGTAACCAGTACCTAGGGGTATTATTGCATGCTACTTATCTGTAACTGTGCAAAACAAGCACAACTGCAAGAGGATGGCACTGCTGCCTATGTATGAACAGTGAATGATAAGGCGGCACTTGGTACAGGAACACAATCTCTTAGACATTTATCATCACATTGTCTCATCTTAGCTGATTTTCCTCCAAGTGCTAGAGATGTTAATTTTTATGCCGCAATTATGCATATATTACATTGTATATTACTTTCTTTTTAAAAATTAGCTCATTTTTTTCTAGAGCTCTATTTATTAGCCTATTTTTTCACATGTTCCCTAAATCATAAACCCTTCGAAAAAATCAATACATTTACTTTTTTATTTGGACAATTAACTTTTCTGTTTCTTTTCCTTACCTATCTGCCTACCTACCTATTTATTTGTTCATTTATTTATTTTTGAGGCAGCAGCATATGTAGTCCAAGTTGACCTCAAACTTACTTAGCCAAGGATTACCTTAAATTGATCATCTATCCTGCCTCCTCCTGGGAATTTTAGGCATCTCACAAAGAATAAAGATCTAGTTTTGAGTAAACTTACCTCTTCTCGCCTTTCCTCCGCAGAAGGAGTTTTAAGTTCTCGTGCTGTATCGTCTTTGGGGTCAAAAAGATAGATGTAATCTGAAGAATAACTAACAAGAATCTCTTGGCCATCTTCACTGTAACACAGAGACGTCACTCTGCAGGATTTATTACTAAGATGAGAAGGGATAAAGCGAGCAACCATTCCAGTAGTTCCTCGACCTGCATAATTCCCTAATAGGAATTTATTCAAAATTAATAGTGTTATAAACATTTTAAAAACTCTTAGCCTGAATTATGAGGTACATTAAATAATGTAGCAACATAAACTCAAATTATCACTTTCTGTATCTACAAGAGGTTATTTCCTTTTTAATCAGCCAATAATTTTTTTGGTTTGGTTTGGTTTGGTTTTTCGAGACAGGGTTTCTCTGTAGCATTGGAGCCTATTCTGGATGGAACTCACTTTGTAGACCAAGTTGGCCTTGAACTCACAGAGATCTGCCTGTCTCTGCCTCCTGAGTGCTGGGATTAAAGACATGCACCACCACTTCCCTGCATTAACAGTCAAGAATTTAAAGCAAACAAGAAAGAATGCTATAAAGACAATACATGCTCCAGTTCTGTTGTTATGACAAACACCAAAAGCAACTTGAGAAGGAAAGGTTTAACTTGGATTATAGTCCCAATCACAGTCCATCATTGAGGGCAGGAACTCAAGCAGGAGCAGAGGCAAGAACCATGGTGGAAAGCTGATTACTAGCTTGCTTCCCTGGCTTGCTCAGCTACCTTTCTTACACAGCCCAGGCCCACAAAGAGACTACATCAATTAGCAATTAAGAAAATGGGGATACCTATACAGGGACACCCACCCTCCAATCTGACTAAGACAATTCCTCATTTGAGATCCCCTCTTCCCAGGTGTGTCAAGCTGACACATACAGCATATTTAAACACAGACACACACACACACACACACACACACACACACACACACACACACACACACCAAGCCACCTCATCATCATTCAGAATTTCAGATTACATCATTTGCTGAAAAAACATTTACTAATAGGTGATATCTGCACTAAGTCATCCACAAACTTTTCATTCAAATTAAGATCATTTCTACAATAGGCAACCTGACACTTCAAAAAAATAGGTTGATTACAACCTATTATTGGCTGCTTATTTAATCATTCATTTATTTTAAAAACCATTATCTATTTTTTGAACAAATCATACTACTTCAACCCTTTAAAATAAATAACCTCATTAGTATAACTGACAGGTGCCAGGATATTAAAATCATTTATTTGATTTCACATAGAACTCAAAATATTAATAGGTTTGGATGACAGCACCAAGTTAGGATGAGGATGAAAATACATGTGATGCAAGAAAACCACTTCCTATGACAAAGCTTTTTCTTGCCATTAAAAAATGTTTGAATTATTTTATGTGTATGGGTGTTTTGTCCAGATGTATGTCTATGAACCATGTGTTCACAGACATGTGTTCCCACAGAGGCTGGAACAGGGCACTGGATCCACTACAACTGCAATTACAAATGGTTGTTAAGCACTATGTGGATGCTGGGAATCAAACCCCGGGTCCTCTGAACCGCTTAGCCATTTCTCTGGCCCTCCTGCATTCTTGAGAGAACACATTGTTGAAGATGTTAAGCACTGATTTTACTGAATGTACTGAGGTTTCTTCCTAGTCTAGTAAAGTAATACTCTATGTAGTTGAATCAATCATCTGAGAATACCTAAATTAAAAGTGTAAATAACTACTGCAACCAAGTTAAGACAAATAATGAACAATGGCTCATGGTATATGTAAGTACACTAAAAGATCTCAAAAAGAGGGTTATGAATTCAAAGAGAATTTAACTTTTAAAAAATTTCTGATGACTCTTCTGGCTTCCAAGAAAAAGGAAAAAAGTCTTATTCAATAAGCACCATTCTTTTAACTCTGGCTGTTATAAACAGGAACTTGTTGAAGACAATAAACTATTATCTTTGTTATAGCTATGGATGGCCTTTCTCTTCGAGGTTTCTCTATCAGGTAATGTTCGTGCAGACTTCACTGCTCTCTGGGCCTTTACTAAATGCTCCCTAAATAGTCTACAGGGTACAGAAGGCTGGCTCCCAGACACTAGAACCAGGAAGTCCAGGGTGTCTCAGCATACTAGGGATTCCTGCCACCTCTGGGAAGCCTTGATAGCCTTCTAGTCCATTTCTCTCAATGCTAGCAGGGCCTCAGTCACCTGAGAGAAAAGCAGCTCAGAGGAACTTTCATAACTCTCCCAGAAGGGACACACCTGCTCTTTCCTTCCAAGTCACTTTGCATGTTACAGCTGTATTTGACAGATGAACTTTGTACCAGGAACATTTGCAGGTTAAAAACAACTGTATCTCTTGAAGTCCCAAGCATGGGTAATGCATTACTCACAGAAGCCCTTTCCCTGGAGTCCCTACCAGTGCCATTTAAAATACATTTACTGAGAAAGCAGCAGAAACTACACAGCAAGAACAGCTCCTCACACACAGCCCACCTGCAGGACCCAAGAGGCTACAGTGGAGTGCATGGGTCCAAGAGAACTGCCAAGAATGCACAACCTCACTCTCCAGCAACCCAAATGCCAAGAACACTGAGGCTACAGAGACCAAGGCTGTTACTCACTCCTACCCCATAAGCACACAGAAGCACAGAGAGCTGTTGGAGCCTGAAAACTTCAACTTTAAACTCTAGAGCTGTGCCAACAACTCATTCCATTAATGTCTCATAATGGTTTTACTTTTATTTGTAAATTATTTCTCCAAATTGTTTACTATGAGGCATTTTTGGCCATACTCATTGGCTGCCATCTCATATACTCCCCTCTTAGTCTAAAATTGATTTACTTTTTGTGGTAGTGGGGATGAAACCCAGGAACATGCCTATGCTAGGCCAGTATTTGACCACTAAGCTACATCTCTAGTCCTTGGTATTTTTGAAAGCCTGTGGTCTGCCTGCATAGTAGAGGCTGGCCTTGAACTCGTGATTCTCATCTCTTGAATCCCCAGTTCTGGGATTATAAGCACGACTACCATGTCTAGCTTATAATCTCAATTTTAATAACTCTGGTGGTCTTCAGTACAATTGAGTTCAAGAGGAGAGAGTTCAATTGGCCCAGGAATGATAAATTCTAAGGCTCTCCAAAGCTGTGTAATCCTGCATGGTTGAGTCTTGTCCTGCTAAAAATATAAATTTTCTTGTTTATATTGAGAGCAATAATTAAGCCTATAATTTCATATTATCATACCATTTCATATGCACATTTCAAATGTGCATATTCAAATTGATAGGACTCCTCATCACAGTTCAAGAGAGAAAAGCTCTCAGAATGTTAAAGCCTGAGGATGAGGAGGAGTGATGTGAAATGCTGACTTGAATGTAACACTGCTATTGCACTCATGAACTCACAAGCAGCTGTGGTTACCTGCACAAGAGAAGCCCACTGATAGTCTAACCCTGATACCAGAGTGGCACATGAGGCCCCACCTCCAGCTGAAGAGTTACTGGGAGTTAGTGAGGCTAGGGAAGGGGAGTACTTTTTCTTCAGAGATGTAGCCACTGCTAAGTTGTCCAAATCCAGTAAATAAGCCACATGTATGCACATGCAAGCAACTCTATTAAACTCACCAGGCTATTGAGGGAGGGGCAGTGTCGGAAAAGAAGGGTTTCGGGGAGTGGGAGAAGGATAAAATAGAAGAATGGAGGAGGAATATGATAAACATATATAAATGTGCCAAACTGTCAAACAATTAAAACTGATTAAAAACAAAACAGAGGGGCTGGAGAGATGGCTCAGCATTTAAGAATACTGACTGTTCTTCCAAAGGACCTGGGTTCAATTCCCAGCACCCCCATGGGAGCTCACAACTGTCTGTAACTCCAAGATCTGACACCCACACACAGATAGACATGCAGGCAAAGCACCAATGCACATAAAATAAAAATAAATACTATTAAAAACAAAACAGAAAACCTTTCATCTAGTATTCCCTCCCATCTGATAACCTAGGTTGGTAGTTACTGACATTGGTGATTTCTGCCTCAGTCCTTTACTTTCCAAAACACAATGTAGATATATATTTGATACTCATCTTTGTATATATGCATGAGTACATGTATACATGCATGATCTTTTTAATTGGACCTGGGTATCAAATAATATGTAGCATATATTTATATCTACTTAGCTTGGAATGCTGTGAATATTGCTGCTGTGAACGGAAGTCTGATTTTGTAACTGCACAGGCAGCAAAGGAAATAGTCTAAAGAGAGACACTTAGGTCTTTCTCTGTGGCTTTAAGACCATTACAACAATGGGTCCCAGAGAATTAAAATTTCCCCAGGACTGTCAAGTTGGAGGCAGGAAAGGCTAAAGCCCTGGTGACAGCTAGAGGAAGAACATGACTTCCAGAAAGAGATTTTACATAGTTCTGCCTAAATAGTACACCCCTACCTACTTCCTGGCTCTTGTTTCAGTCTTTCTATAAAATTATAATACTGCTACAGAAAAGGCAAAAGAAAAGTAGTAACCTTCTCTGCACAGTTTGGCTGATATATAAATAAACCTATTTTCCTTTATCAATACGTCTCCTAATTTCTGTCAAGAAATAGTAGACTGATAAATTGAAGTGCTCTCCTACATTGCCAAACAACAATTATCATGAGGCAAAAGAGAGGCACAGAACAGATACTCCCTATGTCTTTAGCAGAACTAACCATAAGACATGTTGATTTCAGATAGCTAAATTCTAGAAATGTGTGAAAGAAAACACATTGCTATTGTTTTTGGAGACTCAAATTGAATAGTTCATTATGGCAACCTTGGGAAAGAAACAAATTAAGTGTTATAATTTTTTTTCAGATTTATTTTATATGTATAAGTGTTTGCTTGAATGTGTTTGCGTGCGTGTGTGCGTGCATGCGTGTGTACCTAAGGAGGTCAGAAGAATACACATTAGATTCTCTAGAGTGAGAGTTTCAGGCAGTTGTGAACCATTCAGTACAGTTGTGAGCTGCCTAACATGGATGGGGGGAACCAAACTCAGGTTCTCTGCAAGAGCAGCAAATGCTCTTAACTACTGAAACATCTCCCCAGCTCCTGTTAGGATTTTTTTTTTAATTGATAAACTGTGAAAGCATCAGCATCATCCCAATAGTTTGTTGTCTTTTTCTTGAGACAAGGTCTCATATAATGCAAGCTGTCCTCAAACAGGAATGACCCTGAACTTCTGACCTTACTGCCTCTAGCTATAGTGTGCTGAGACTACAGCCATGCAACACTATGCCTAGTTTCCAACAGAGCATTTAAAAATTAGTAAAATACTTTTTCTCAGAATAATCTATGTTATTTTATAACAAAATTTAAAACTGTGTAATGTAAAATGCTATAAGCATTACTTTGAACAGTCCTAAATTTTGCCAAATATTTCCTCACCTGTAGCTCTTGTGCCCAGCATCCGTCGGTCATAAATCCGTACTGAGCTATCAGAACAACCCACAGCAAGGTAATATGGTACTGGGGGACAAATAGCCACAGATGTGGCAGCACGCCGGCAGTTGATTAAAATATCCTACAAAAGACAGGCATGGGACCAATTACATATGGCTATATAGAAGTGAATAGTCCAAATTTAAAGTATTTTCCCTCTAATTGTAAGGTAATAACATCTTAGATATTCTAATTCAGTAAGCAAAAACAAAAAGAGTGGTTTTCTTGTAATGCATTTTTTTAAGACTGCTAAAATTTATTTCTATCATATTTAGCCAACAGGAAACCTCACAACATTATTCCTATCACACACATTGACCAATTTCATGGTCTGAACATCTTGGTAGTTAGGATGTTCTGTAGTTACTGAATTTTCTTTATACTTTCTGGCTACACATATAATAAACTTTACAAAGGAAATAATTATTCCACTTCTTAGCCCTTGTATCATTATGACGATGTTACTTAGAAAAGGATACCCACACCCCCCTAAAGTATGAACTACTACATGGTTTAGAAGCATTTGAAAGAATGAGTTTTAGTACCCACCATTTACTTAGAAATACATTTAGCAAATGTTCTCAAAGAACCTGATATGTGTACATAAAATATGTATATAACCTGCAACCTAGGACAGAATGAGGGGACTCCATGGGGGGAGGTCAGGGTCATTGACCTTGCCCACAATAACCAGCATGAGCTTGCCTGCCAGAATTTGGAAAGGCAAAGCAATTATGTCAAGGTAAGGGCAAGTACTATGGTGATGGGCTTTCTGCTACCTCTTCATTATGCTGTATAAGTAGAAAACGACACACAAGAAGGAAGAGGAACCAAGGAGCTTTGTGGATTCCCTCTTGCCCTTCACCTGTGCACCTGAAGCCCTCACTGTTCAACGCTCTTGCCTCTCTTGCCTGAATGCTTAGAACCAGTCCTAGCCTGGTCCTGTTTCCTCCAGTAGTGCTCGCAGGTCCCAGCACTGACAGTATTGACTGGCCTGAGTCTGTAGATCATCTCCGGCAGTCTACACGTCCCCACACTCCAAGCCACTCCTCAGGGAGAGGGAGTTATTTCTCCCCAGTCATTTTATTCTGAGGGATATACTCCACAGTGTTAAAAATAGCTTTTTAAAGATTTGGAAAATGTATATAAAACGTGTGTATGAAGATATATATACATACTTTTCCTCAATACTGAGGTTCAAACACAAATGGCATTCTAGCTACCACTGAGCTACAACCCTGGTCCCTAAACACCCAATATTTTAAACTTATTTCACCTTTCTATTCAGTGTGCAAATGTGTTTATATATGTTACATAACATAAAACACATCAAAATTTTGTTTAAAATGTTTCTATGGCAGTCAGTGGTGACAAATGTCTTTAATCCCAGCACTCGGGATGCAGAGGCTGGTGGATCTCTGACTGTGGTCTACACAGTGAGTTCCAGACAGCTAGGACTGTTTCACAGAGAAACCCTGTCTCAGAAAACAAAAACAAAAAAGGGAACAATATTTATTTCATTAACTACTACAATGATTCAGTAAAGATCTACTATACACTTCATACTGGATAACAGATAAAACTCTTGGGAGAAGCTGGCTAGGGCCAAAAGACATTTTTTTCAGGCCTTTTTGTTGTGTGTGTGTTTGGTTTTTTGTTTTGTTTGGTTTGGTTTTCGTGTGCTAAGTGAGTATGGGTGCAAACCTCAAAGTCAATGTCAGGGGTCATCCTCGATTGTTCTACACTGTATTCTTTGAAACAGTCTTTCACTAACCCTGAAGTTCATCATTTCAGTTAGGTTGGCTGACTAATAAGCTCCAGTGATCTGCCTATAAGATTACAGATGTACACTGCCATGCCAGCTTTTACCTGGGCTCTTGGGCTTGAAACTCAGGTACTTATGTTTTATGCTTTGCATAACAAATGCTTTAAGGATTGAGTCATCTCTCTATCCCCTACAAATATATTTAAATGGACAACTGAAATAGAAGCTTCTTAACCTCATTAACATTGAAATTAAAGATTTTTGTGATTAAAAATTTTAGCAAAATAAAATTATCACCAAAGATATCTTATTGAATCATAATTAATTTTTCTAAATCACTTGTATAAAACAGGGATTCTTACATCTTTGCAGTCTTCTTTTGTGCAACTAGTTTTGATGCGTGTGTCAAACCACCTAACGGTTCCATCTTCACCACAGGACAAAAATGTGTAAGGGTCATTTGGTACAGTCATAATCTGAAGATGAAACAAAAGTACAAGAAACACTACTGAACAATTAAACAGGAGTCTTAGAAACTCACTGCCACTGTTTGATACATCCATGAAGGTAAATGCAACAAAACTATCCAAGTAAGTCATTATCTATGACTTCTCCAAAGCATGATTTAAAAGATAGAATACACAGACACAGCAGTCCTGTAAAATAATTACTTTGAAATTATATAACTTCATATAAGATTTTCCAAAATCATAAAATTTGAACAACTAAACTTTGGAAATATGTTTAAAGACAATAAAGTAAAAAGAGTATGGTGAATTATCCATATGAAGCCAAAATAACTATAGGAGATATTATAAGTCAAAGAGGGAGACAAAAATTTATCTGTCAGAAAAGATCACAAGATAATGGAAAAAAAATCAATCAGAAAAAAAAAAAAAAAAAAACGTTTTGAAGACTGCTGACTTAAACGATGGAGGAAGGAACCCTGATTCAAAGCACGCACAGGGTTCCAGAAGTGGAAAAGGTAAAACCATAAAGCTCACAGACCCACAAACACTTCAATTTGAGCCTAGCTAGATTCATTTTAGCTGACTTTCAGAATTATCAAATTTTTAAAAAAATGTGTTGTTTAAAGCCAAACTCTAAAACTTCAAGTATTGATATTTGCTTTTATTGAACAAGTTTATAAACAACTCAAAATAGTAAGACTTATACACCACGGAAAGGCAATTGTAAAAGCACACTCAACACAAGTGAATGTAATGCATATTTCAAGGAAGATAATGACTTTTGACTTATTTCACATTTGTGAGAAATGTGATGATTATTATATCACTTCAATGAAGTAGCAGTATTGAATTATTTACTTATGAAGTAATTTTATCAGTAAAACATATTTGCAAGTTGTTGCTGACTCAGCTATGTTGACTTCATTCAATAATAGGGTCATTTTTTACTTTGTGTATTACTGTCTACAAACCAAATGCTTAGGAAGTGTGTCACTGTGGGAGCAGGCTTTGAAGTTTCCTATCCTCAGGATACTGCCCAGTGTCACAGTTAAATTGCTGCTGCCTGTAAAATGTAGGACCATCAACACTTCTCCAGCACCACGTCTGCCTGCACACCACTATGCTCCCTGTCATGAAGATAATGGACTTAACCTCTGAGCTGTAAGCAAGCCACCCCAATTAATGTGTTCCTTTATAAAAGTTGCAACGGTCATGGTGTCTCTTCACAGCAATAGAAACCCTAACCATGGGCGGTGGTGGTGGCTCATGCTTTTAATCCCAGCACTCAGGAGGCAGAGGCAGGGGGATCTCTGTGAGTTCAAGGCCAGCCTGGTCTACAGAGTGAATTCCAGGACAGCCAAGGCTATACAGAGAAACCCTGTCTCAAAAAAACAAACAACAAACAAACAAAACAAACAAACAAACCTAACAAAGTCCAATACAAAAATTATAAAACTCAGTCCCAGAAAAACTAAGCAAACAGGAACAATAACAAAATTAGGGAAGAAGGGAAAATAGACTCTTTAGAATCAGCATATTATGGTATTTTAAAAAGTTAAAGCCATACAGGCATGGTGACACACACCTTTAATCTCAGCATTGGGGAGGCAAAGGTAGGCATATTCCAGGGCAGCCTGGCCTACATACATAGCAAGTTCTAGTCCAGCTAAGGCTGGACAGTGCAGCAGGGTTGGGGTGGGGGGGAGTCATGCTAGGTGTGGTTGCCTATGCCTTTAATCCCAGTACATGGGAGACAAAGGCAAAAGGACAAGGAATCCAAGGTCAGCCATAGCTACACAGCAAACTTGAAATGAGGGGAGCTACATGACATTGACTCAAAAGCAATTTACAAAGCTGGGTGAGAGAAGTGGACAGGACAGGGATGGGGACAGGAAGTGGGGGAGGCTAGGCATGGTGATGTACACTTTTAATCACAGCACCTGGAAGACAGAAGCAGATGGATTTCTGTGAGTTCAAGGCCAGCCTGGTCTCCAAAATGACTTTCATGCCTATAAGGACTACAAGACACTGTCTCAAAAAAGTTTATTTTATTGTGTTACTGCAACACAAAATCAACTTACACAGGGAGGACGACAGAAATGAATCTTTGTGAAACAGTTCATTTCAGAGGACACACCTGCTACAGGACCACACAGTACAATAACAGGAGCATCTTAAAAGAGCTGGCACCTGCCATAGTAAAACCCATTGTCTTTGCATGCTAACTAAAAATTAATCTAAAAATAAATAAATAAATGCACAAAGCAGGGGAAGGATTACTACCGGTTTAAGGCATGGCTGCTTAAGCAACTGCAAATTCATCTTACAACACTAATACTTGAATCTTACTGTTATTACTATCCACAAAATCTACCATGAAAAACTTTCAGAAGTGCTTTGGTGATATACAATCTGCCAATAATTTTTATACCTAAAAATATAGATACAGGTGTAAATAAATGTATAGATACATCTATACACTTACACAGAAGCATGCATTTATACATGCAATCACAATACTGTATGTACCTCATAAGTAGTTCCATAATGGCACGTAAATTGGCACTGTCTGTTGGTTTCTGCATCTTGCTCGATATTAGTATAGAATATGACTCCATCTCCAGAGCAAGACACAATCTGCTTATCATCTGTACACGGCAAAAACTTTGCACTAAATATATTTGCTCGATGCCCTGAACGGATTGTTGTCAAAACCTAAAACATATAAAAAAGGTAGTTCAGAGCAAGTAATTTTCCTAGGGAGAAACAGGAGAAACAGTCATGTTTAATATAATTGCAAATAGTAATAAATCCTCATTAACATTCTCAACAAAAGATTAGTGTTTGATTATGAACTAATTATAAAACATCAGAATCTCACATATTATCTTTTGTTTTGAGATAAGAAAATTATCACCATTTGTAGTAATTCCCTTAAAAGCAACTTCAGCACACTTCTTATTTAAATCATTTATTTTAGTTGAATGTTTTTCTCTGTCCTGCTGGTCCCCCTGGACTAGTTTCTCTCCTGCTTGCAGGCCCTGTTCTCTGCCTTCTTTCTCTATCTCTGTTTGGATTTTCTGCCTACCTATATTCTGCCCTGTTATAGGCAAAAACAGCGTTATTCAACAACCAACAAAAGTAACACATACTCTTAGCATACAAAAGGACATCCCACATCAATTTATCTCTCTCACTCATCAAATCTTAATAACTAAGAAATAACTATTTGGATTGACTTTTGAAACAGTATGTACTAAATAATTAATTTTCTTTCAAGACAAAGAATCAAAATGACTCAAAATTAAATTTAAAAAATGGTAAAATGAGTATATAGCAAGAAGTTCCAACATCTAATTCCTTATTGTGACAGAAATAAAAGTTAATATTAGTACTTAATATTTGCAATATATATTGCAGATCAAGAACTGATTCCCTTAGTACTTAAACATTGAGAGAAAAAATAACCAAGACCTAGAAAACAAAAAACCCTGAACTGACAGTCCAAAGATAAACAGACACCCTTAAAATTATGAAAAAATGCACATTCACACCACAAGGACATTTGTTCAACTATATTCATAGCAACATTATTTGTAATAAACAGATCTTGGAAACAACCTAGATGCCCCTCAACTGAAGAATGGATAAAGAAAATACGGCTTATTTTCACAATGGAGTACTACTCAGCAGTAAGAAACAATGACATCCTAAAATCCACAAGCAAATGAACAGAACTAAAAAAAAAAAAGAAAGAAAAAACCATCCTAAGTGAAATAAACCAAAACCAGAAAGACAAATATAGTATGTACTCACTCTTAAGTAGATACCAGGCATAAATAAAGCAAAAGATACCCTGCCTATAATCCATAACCCCAGAGAAGCTTGAGCCCTCTTCCAGAAACAGATGAAAGAGATGCAGAAATCTACAGCTAACCATTGAGCCAAGCTCCTGGAGTACAATCAAAGTGAGGGAGGAGTGATAATATGAAAAAAGGAGTTAAGACCATGATGGGGAAAACAACAGAATCAGCTGACCCAAGCTAGTAAGAGGGGTAGAGAGGTGCCTTGGTCCTGCCTCAAGGAGATAATGGGACAGAGTTAGCAGACTTCCTGGGGAGCAGATGGGAGATGGGAGAGGAGTGGGGGGAGCAGGAAGAGAGGGAAGGAGGGAGAACTGGAATTGTAATGTAAAAAAATGAATTAATGAAAAAGTGCCAAAAAATATTCGATTCCTGCAGCATACCCATGTTCAGTTCCCAGAACCCACCTGGTAGTTCACAACCATCTTTAACTCCAGTTCCAGGGACTCCAACACTTTCTGACCTCTATGGATACCAAGTATGCAGGAGGAGCACATACATACATGCAGGCCAAATACTCATACACATAAAACAAAATAATCTAAAAATTTTAAGTTTATCCATTAATATAAAATTAATGGTATAACTAAATATATTAAATATGCTGAAAAGCTTGTTAGAGTACTATCATCATCTACAAAAATTTTAATTATAAAAATTCCTTTAATAGTTCTTTCTTTTTTTTTTTTTTTTTTTTTTTTCGAGACAGGGTTTCTCTGTGTAGCTTTTGAGCCTATCCTGGCAATCGCTTTGGAGACCAGGCTGGCCTCGAACTCACAGAGATCTGCCTGCCTCTGCCTCCCGAGTGCTGGGATTAAAGGCTTGCGCCACCAATGCCCGGCTTAATATTTCTTCTAAATATTTAAAATTACAATACTTGAGATATTCCTAAGCTTTGAGATATGGTAATATACAAGTTTGAACAAGGCTTTACTGAGAGATTCAAAGCTCAACACTTTTGGAAAACCAGCAATCCAATGTAAGTAATGTATGCTATTAATTCTGTTGTGAATATTTGCCCTTTGAAGTGCTCTTAAAAAAGAAAAAAGTTTGGAATTTGGAGATTGCTTTGCTTCACAAACAGTAAAACCTGAAATATCATGTGACCCAAAGGGGAGCACAGTTATTGCTGGTTTAGAGGCAGTCTTTCTTTCTTTCTTTCTTTCTTTCTTTCTTTCTTTCTTTCTTTCTTTTAAAGATTTATTTATTTTATGTATATGGTGCTCTATCTGCACATACACCTACACACCAGAGGAGGACATCATATCCCATTACAGATGGTTGTGAGCCACCATGTGGGTGCTGGGAATTGAAGTCAGGTCCTCTGGAAGAGTAACCAATGCTCTTAACCACTGAGCCATCTCTCCAGCCTCTGGAGGTAGTCTGGATACTGTTACCCAGATTAGTCATGAACTTAAGATCCTTCTACCTCTATCTCCTGGGTGCTAAGATTGCAGGTCTGTGCCAGCAAAAAGTTATTTCTAATATGCTACAAATAAATAACAACAGTAAGCAAAATTCACTCATTCACACACCTTAATGTTAATGAAAAGAAAGAACATAATGTCTTCTTTGGTTCAAATAATGTTACTGAGATATCATTTCCCTATTAACCACTTGGGTAAAGTGAAGGATATTTACATTTTCTCAAGTCTAAACTTGAGAAAACTTGGAAATATTCCAGCAGGGCATAGTAATGCACACTTTTAATCCCAAACTCAGGACCTTTAATCCCAACACTCAGGAGACAGAGGCAGGAGAACCTTTGTGGGTTTGAGGCCAGTCTAATCTACACAGTGAGTTCCAGGCCAGCCAGAACTACATAGAAAACTCCTGTCTCAAAAAAAAATAAAAAATAAAAAAATAAAACCAAACCAACCAAACAAGCAAAAATTCTCACATATTCCAAAGGAAACTACAGTACCCACAAGTAACAATGCCTAAATTATGCAATTAACTTTAATAAAGACGATGTTCTAATACAAATGACTATCCTGTGGTTATAATTTCCTCATCCCTAGCTTCCTTTTATCACTAAATTATACATATTTAACCACTTCACCTTTCTGCTGTACGGATTACTAATTACAAGTTTGGTGTCATCAGAGCCAGATAAAATATATTCTCCAGTGTCATTCCAACAGATTGTATTAACCTAAAAAGTAAACACAAAAGAAATATAAGCAAACTGGACATAAAAAGAAGTAAACCATCTTTTACTTACCTGTGTTACAAAATTTACAATACTAGTAAAGGAGAGAAAGTTTACAGACTGAAAAACCACACTTCAGTTCTTGATTCACATACGAGAGTCCTGGAAACTACTGTTATATCCGACAAGGCAGATACTGCCAAAATCAACCATTGCTCTTGGATCCTACAGACAAACTACTACCACTATGACCAAAGACACCAGGCAGTCCTGATGAGCAAAGGAATGGAAGCCTCTGCAGGAAACTGTGTCTAGGTAGGAAAACGTGAATTACAACATGCTAAAGGTGTTAATAAAACAGACAATACCTAAGAATGGGTGATCTAAAGCATAGAGGGGATTCTAAGAGAGAACAAAGAGTAAAGTATTGCTAGAGATCAGGGTTTAACAGAAATGAAGAATGGCTTTGATAGGCTTACTAGCATATTGGACATAGTTGAAAAAATCCGACTTTAATGAAATACAGACACCTTAGAAACTACAAAGAACAAAGTCTGGGGTGGGGTGGGGGAAGCATATCCAAGGACTGAGATACAAGCACAAAAGGTATATAATCCATGTTTAATGGGAATACAAAAAGACTAAAGTGAGAAACGGCAGAAACATTTGAAATAATAATGACAGAGTGCCCTCAAAATTGTATCAATCAGCAAACTAGAGATTCAGGGTGCTCAGGGAAAGCTGAGGAGAGCTGGAGGATCCAGTGCCTCTGATCTCCAAGGAAGGATAGATCATTACAGATCACATAGCATGATCTAGGCCAATCAGGGCTACCTATCAAGTACCTGTCTAAAACCAAATAAAATCATAAATAAAAAAGCAACAAATATGTACCTATACTTATAATTTATTTATTCCACTCCTAGGTATCTATCAAAAAAAGAACAAAAACAGAAACTGTACACAAATGTTTCACGGTAACTTTGTAGTTGCTAGTTAGAAATAATGTTCACCAACAGTTGAATAGTTGAATTACCCATACAATAAGCACCCAGCAATAACAAATAACCACTGACATCCTCAATATAAATGAATACCCAAATAATTATTCTAAGTAATTCTAAGTGAAGAAGTCAAACATCAAAGAGAACACAAGGCCAGAAGGACATAGTTCAGTGTTAGAGCACTTGTACAGCATGCAGAGGGAGTTGAACTTGATCCCTATGCTAGATAATTCTATTTATAAAAGTGACACCACAATTAGAACTGATAACACACCATCAGCACACCAACCTAAAAATAAAAATGAATTTACAATGATAAAAAAAAGAGACCGACTAGGGTTAATTATGATCATGAGAAATGGCAAGATGAATTGATCTTAGTAGGTGATTGATAAGCTGGTTTGATACCTTCACCAATAAATATATACATTTAAACTTACCAAAGTGGCCGGGCGTTGGTGGCGCACGTCTTTAATCCCAGCACTCTGGAGGCAGAGGCAGGTGGATCTCTGTGAGTTCAAGGCCAGCCTGGTCTCCAGAGCAAGTGCCAGGATAGGCTCCAAAGCTACACAGAGAAACCCTGTCTCAAAAAAAAAAGAAAAGACTTATCAAAGTGTACATTTTAAATAAGTACAGCTGCTTATGGTCCCATGAAGGTGCCCAATATCATCTAAGTACAGTCAATTACACCCATAAACCTTTTTAAATCTCTATATAAATTTTAATACAAGTTAATGCACTAAAGCAATATAAAACACAGATTAAATTCACATCATTCTTATCAACTATACTAGATGTTTGAATGCACATGTATAGCCTATAAAATTAATAATGTCCAACTTAAAATTGTATGCCCACCCAAATCATAAATTAGGTATGAAGGCAAAGAAAAAAGGTTTTGAATTGTGAGAAAGTTTACTTTCTTTAAAAAAAAAAAAAATACTTGAGAACACAGTAAAACCTAAAAGAAAGTTAAAGATGGGAAGACACAGACAATACCAAATCCATTCACAACTAATATTTGGAAATCTTTTCTTTGGGAGAGATAAAAGATTTGGCATTTAGCTCCTAAGGGGTATATAAAACCTGGCATATAACACAGTCTTTTGCCCTTGTCAGTGAACAATTCCTAAGTGCTCCACATGAACTAAGAATGCCTGGAAACTTATTTTCCTGGATATTTATTCATTTAGTGTCTTCCTAAAGAAAACCTATAAAGAGGTTTTCTCAGTCCAAATGTGCCAAGGCAGAAGCAGCAAGTATATTGACTATGAATATGTATGCTTAGACAATTATAATGTCATATAATAAACACAATGGAAAAAGCTAGCACCCACTAACTCCCCCACAGCACCTACTTTCTTTCTTTCCTTTCTTCCTCCCTCCCTTTCTCCCCCCCCCCCTTTTTCTTTCTTTTTCTGAGACAATGTCTCACTATATAGCCCTGTCTGCCCTAGAACTCACTATGTGAGCCAGGCTGGCCTTGAACTCAAGAGATTCACCTGTCTTGGCTTCCAAGGTACCAGGACTAGAACTGTGTGTCACCACAACTTATCCCCCCACCTTTATTTTCTTGTTTTTCAAGAAAGGGTTTCTTTGTGTAGCCCTGGCCATCCTCGAACTTGCTCTGTAGAACAGGCTGTCCTCAAACTCAGAGATGTGCCTGCCTCTGCCTCCTGAGTCCTGGGATTAAAGGCTTGTGCCACCACCACCTGCTATTTTCCCATATTTAAAAGTCAGTTATAATCCATTCTAGGAGGATCAGGACATTTCATCAGACATTTAAACACATTATTAAAGCCATTTATAGTTAAGAATTAACCATTACTTACACAGCCATCATGCACATTTAAGGTTGCTTCAAGTTTTAATCTTTGGATAAATTCTCTTCTTCCTGTTTAAAAACAATTCAATAAATCATAAATCTCCACTGAAATTAAGAGCCTAGGACCTGTCACAATATGATTCAACCTCCAATTTCAGCTCTACTGTTTATAAACTGAATGATATTAGACAAATTAACATTCAAAAGTCTATTTCCTCACTAACATAACTAACTTACAAAAGACAACATGGTGTCTAAACCACACACATACAAAAAAAATTCTTGTTTCTCCATCTATTCTTTTAACAAATAGTCAGAACTCACTGTTCCGGATAATGTTCTAGAAGCAAGGAATACAGTGTTCTCTTGGGCAAGGGTAAAGACAATAAAAGGCATATCAGTTGCGAACAAATTAAGTAGGAAAATAAAGGGCAAAGAGTATAAGAGAGTTGGTGGTGGAGGTTAAGTTTTCCATTTTAAAAAGGGTAGCAAACAGTAATAAGACGCATCAATTTTTTTTCTTGGTTTTTCGAGACAGGGTTTCTCTGTATTGCTTTGGAGCCTGTCCTAGAACTCACTCTGTAGACCAAGCTGTCTCGAACTCACAGAGATCCACCTGCCTCTGACTTCCGAGTGCTGGCATTAAAGGTGTTCGACACCAACGCTGGGCACCAATTTTTTTTTTTTTTTAAGATTTATGTGTTTTTATTATAGGTGCACAGGTGTTTTACCTGCAAGTATGTATGTACACTGTGTACAAGTGCTCTAATTGCTAAGCCATCTCCTCAGTCCTCAATATTTTAAACTAATATGTAATAGAAAAATATAAGTCAGCTTGAATGTCCATTAAAAGCAAAACAGTTTAATACTGCAAAAACAGGTTAAGTTCCTTTTCTGAAACAAACGAGAAATTAATCAACTTTACCAAAGATAGACCAGGAAGCTTGTTTACTCAGCAGCTGCGATGGAAACTGGGTTTATAACAAAGAGCTGCAATTAACTGAATAATCAGGCTGATGAGGTATCAAAATTATACTAAGTTCTACATTCTGTCATAAATGGCAAGTTTCTGTGTCACACTTTCTCCCTATTCAAAGAAAAGATTCTAAAGTTAATTTGCTTGACTTCCTTCATATTTTTAAGTTGTATGATGTCTAGGTATAGTATGAACATACAGAATTTTAAGATTAATTATGGGTGTTACCTAGGAGGAACTTGTTCTGTAATTCCTAAATTTATTTAAAATTACAGAAATTCAGTAGTTAAACCACATTGCTACATTGCTCTTTGTAATACCCCTTTCCTGCCTTGCCAGTAATTAGGGATTGAACCTAATGGCCCCATGAATGCTAGGCAAGAGTATCTACCAATAAGCTACAGTATCAGACTATAATTAGGCCAAATTGCAGAATCCTTGTGTAATGTCACTTGGTCACATTTCATTTGTGATATGAATGGTGCTATAAAAAAAATTTCATAGGCCGGCCTTTGGTTGCGCACGCCTTTAATACCAGCACTCGGAAGGCAGAGGCAGGCAGATCTCTGTAAGTTCGAGGCCAGCCTGGTCTCCAGAGCGAGTGCCAGGATAGGCTCCAAAGCTACACAGAGAAACCCTGTCTCAAAAAAAAAAAAAAAAAAACCTTTTTTATAAACATAAAATTGTATAGATATCAATGTATGTTGGGATAATCTTTTTGTATACTGTGAAGACGTGTCTCTGTCCTTCTTTGCCTGCCTAGGGCACATTCTGATTGGTTTAATAAAAAGCTGAGCGGAGAATAGCTAGGCAGGAGAAGACAGGCAAGACTTCCTGAGAGAGAGATGAATTCTGGGAAAGAAATCTGAGGCATGCGAGATTTGTCAGCCAGATATGGAGAAGTTGGAAGTACGGTACTGAGGAAACGTAACGAGCCATGTGGCATAATGTAGATGAATATAAAGTGGTTAATTTATGTTTTAAAAGTCAGTTCATAACAAGCCTAAGCTAAGGCCAAGCTTTCATAATTAACAAAAAGTCTCCATGTCATTATTAGAGAGCTAGAGACAAAGATTTGTTACAATTATAAATGTATTCTTATAATAACATGCAGTAATTTATCTTATTATCAAATATTTTATGATCCTGAGAATATGCATATATTCATATGTGTATTACACATTTAAGATTCAGAATGGGGGAAGGGTTGACTATAGAATTCCATCTATTTTAAAAACTATAGTATGTCATCAGGCCAAAATTACCTTAAAAATGTCTTTTTCAGGGAAAGAATACTTAAGTTAAGGGATTAACTACATAAAAACCACTTGACTAAAAACAGGCTAGAAGTATTTGAGTAGAAACAGCTTTAGCTTTTTTTGCTTCACAGACTCCATATCCCTGTAAAAAGTCATGCTTGAGGTAAAGTCCTTCAGCTCCATGAGAGCAACTGACCAGATTCCTGTACTAATGACTTAAAAACACTTTGCCTGTTTCATGCATTTCTGTTTTCTGCGATGTTCTAAGTATTTGTAGTGATATTTGTAAAATGTTGAGTTCGTAATTGTCCTTGTTTCTTAAAAAATAAAAAAAAGTCATCTTGCAAGGATACTACATGTTACAACTTAAAAAATTTTTGACTATGTATCAATGGGATAGTTACAGCAATCATAGCAGGCATTAGAAAATATAAATTTAAAAAACTTTTAAAAATTAAATTGGAATGTACTATTTAAAAAAACTTCTATACCTACAGAATGTATAATTTTAAAAGCATAAGTGAATCTTGAGGTAGTATGTTTAAGGTGTAGCAGCCATTCAAAAACTGGTTTCTTAATATTTCTCTAAATATTAAGGTATTTAATGTAACCATTTCTATGCAATATAGATTGGCAAACAGGACATCCAGGTATTTAATTTCAAAGCCCACAAATATAAAGAGAAATTACTACGTTTATATGAGACTTTCATTTTTTAAAACTGCATGTAACAAATACCAAAGACTGTGCAAAAGGCATAAACATGAGTAAACAACATATTGCTAACTGTTGTGTAGAAAAAGTATGTTTTCTTCCTTTTGTTTGCTATGTCACATATATTGTAAAAATTGTGTAAGTGGCTCCAAAAATGTAAATGTTTTGTTAAAATAGTCTAACTGTGTCATGCTATTATAATTGATTTTAAACAGAAAAAAAAAACTAAGAAATTCAGGGTTTGGGTTTGTCTGATTTAGCTTTTGCTTGTGGTTTTTTGAGACAAGGTTTCTCTATGTGTACTCAGAGATCTGCCTGCCTCTGCCTCCCAAGTGCTGGCATTAAAGTGGTGAGCTGTAGGGAGACACCGTAACCACGCCTCCTAAGGGCGGGCTACAGGTGTACTTAACCACGCCTGTCAAGGGGTGTGGTCAAGGGGTGTTCAGGATGACGCGGGGGGGGGGTGGGGGTGGGGGTCTTAAGGGTTAATTACACCTGCAGCCGGCCCTTAGGAGGCGTGGTTATGGTGTCTCCCTACAGTGAGCCACCACTGTCCCACCTGAAATTCAGTATTTTAAAAAACCACATTGCTCTATTGTTTTTTTTTTGTTTTGTTTTTGTAACTCCCTGACCCACTCCCCTACCCTGTACTAGATATTGAACCTACTGTGCCTCGTGCATGCTAGGCAAGAAACTATCTACCAACCAAGTTGTATTCTCAGTCTATACTTAGGTTTTTAATCTTATTTTCAGTTTTTTAAAAAATACAAATGTAAGAAACAAAAAAGATTTAAAAATAAAACATTTTATTTATGCCAAATGTAAGTTTGATTATCTTTCTGAATTAAAGTAATAAGGTACTCGAATTAGTAATGTGATAAAAATTACAAGTATTAAATACTAAAATATTAGAAACCATTTTTCCAAAAATTTAAAGTCTAAACTTAAACGACTAGCTTCTAGCCTTTCTGATCTAGACAAAATGGTGGTAGGTCATAAGAAAATAGAAAATAAAGTGAATTGTTCAGCAAGAGCCCTCACATAGGAAATATGTGCCCAAAAGCTGGAAGCAGGGCGTGATACTGCTAATAAATAGATCCTGGATGACACTTTTGTGTATGACTATGGTGTCAGGTCCAGCTGAGGTGGAAATGAGTCAATGACAACGGGCCAAGGACATAAACTGATGCTGTCATCTAGAAGCCCACAAAAGTGTGCTTTTAGAAACCAAAACCCATCAGAAAATAAGCTTTAAGCTTAAAAACCTCAAATTGAAATGAATGCATATTTGAGCAGTATTAAAAAATACACCTACTTACCAGATAGACCTTCTCCTCCCTCCTACATCTCTCTGCCCCTCTGCCAAGAGGTAGTGATCAAATCCATGACCTTACACAGCCAGGCAAGCACTCTACCACTGGACCACATCCCCAATTCTACTTCCCAAGTCAGAAGGAGAGGATTACAGCACACAGAGCACAGCAGCAGCTTTAGGTTCAGGATGGTCTCCTTGTCTCCCAAACCCACCAACCAGAGAGGCCTGAGTGGATACTGTGCATGTAACAAATGGATTTAAATCACAATTGAGGAACTGAGCTAAGGGCACTCAATTTTTTTTTTTTTTTTTAATCAAGTACAACCGTTTGCTGTAGTGAGATATCCACCCCGCCCATACCTGTAGCACTGACCACACCCATTTGGGTGGTCACAGGTTCTGATGCGACAGAGGACAGGACTTGGATCTTGGGTCCCTGACCCCAGTGCTCTCTCTTGCACAGAGAACGGCCTGGGAGGATCCTTGGAGCTGGAACCTGCGGTGGTCACTGGCCTCTTGTGTAAGTGCATTCTCCTGGAATAAACTTCACTTACCCTGTACTGAGTCTAGTGAATCTTGATTCCCATGCAATAGTTTGCCTCTGTACAAAACTACTATCTTGGTAACACTGAACAAATAGCAACTGGCGTCAGCCTAAGGAGCTTTGGTACCTCCCACATATGCCTATTGTATTAGCACGACTGAAAAGATCATCTAGAACAAAGTGGTTCAGTGTCTCTGCTCACAAAGTGTTGAGAAATGAAAGCGCCATCTAACAATTAGACACTTGTTACCCTGACCTTG